ACTTCATCTCTCCAGACCTCAAGTTTTCCTTTGTGTAAAGAGGTTGGGACTAGATTGTCTCTCAGGTCCCTTCCAGATGCACATCTGTGATTCTGTCTGCAGACATTAGAAACAAGGGCAGGTAAGAAAAGTAAATATTTTTTAAAATGTAATACAGCCCTATAAAGAGAAATTCTGTAGTGCTAGAGGTCAGAATGAGCTGAAATTGGTGAGAGAAGGTCAAGACACCACAAATGATCTTATAAGCTGTATTCAAGAAGAGAGGAAGATCAAAGAAGGAAGGGGTACCTGACAACAGAGAGAAGAAAGAACTGTTCAATCTTTCCTTTGTTTTTGTTTTGTCTGTACAAGAAAGAGGCACACAAAAATGACTAACAGAGTTGATACCCAAGATAAATAAGAGACCTAATTTCCCTTGATGAACTCAAGTCACTTGGCTTTCGTAAACTACATTTATGGGTACTAAAAGATCTTATGAATATGATTGCTGGGTCACTGTCAATAATATTTGGAAGATTATTTAAAAAGGAGAACTACTGCAGGACTGAACACAAGTAACAGTTCTGATTTTCAAAAAGTACAGAATAGAGTCTGTAAATGTATAGACCAATTAACTTGACTTCACTTTCATGGAAAATGCTGGAATGAGTCATTAAAGAGATAGTCATTAACGTCAAGAAAAGGAAATAGTAATTACTTAGAGCCAGCGCAGCTTTATCAAGAAGTCATTTCTTTTTTTTTTTTTTTTGGACAGGGTTACTAAACCAGGAGATCAGGAATACCATAGATATAGTTTACCTGGGTTTAGCAAGGCATTTGATAATCTCATACTGTTCTTGTGGAAAAGCTAAGATAGGTATGAATTATGTGATAATATAGTTGAATGGATTTAGAGTTGAATGGCTAGACTCAAAGAGTAGGTATTAATGGACCCCTGTCAGCTTGTCAGGAGATCTCTAGTGGAATGGCCTAGGGATCTGTGCTTGGCCTTATACTGTTTCACATTTTTTTGATCAGTTATCATATTTGAAGATGATACAAAACCGGGAGGGATAGCTAACATGCTGGATAACAAAATCGGGATTCAAAAAAGATCCTAATATTGAGATGAATTTATTAAGGTGAAATCCAAAAGGGATAAATGGAAATCTTTATACATAGGTTAAAAAAAAATCTATTCCACAGGAATAGATGAGGGGATATCATCCTATTGGTTAAATAAGTTAATTTGTTGTAAGCCACATGAGTCATTAGTGTGATACAACGGTCTGAATCAGCTGTTTCAGTCTTGGATGGTATTGAGAGGCATAGTGCCCATGATCTCTCTTGGGTTGTGAGAAGTAATAGCCTCTCTGCACTCTACCCTGGTCAGACCACATTTGGAGTGTTGTGTTTCCTTCTGGATATCATAGTTTAAAAAGGACGTTGATGAAAGAATATATGTACAAAGTATATAACTATAAGGAGGGAGAGCAATAGCAGTAGGGGGGAATCAGGAAAGCCTTCATGTAAAGAAGGTGATGCTTAAGCTTCATCTTGAAAGAAGAGAGTTTATGAATTGGAGGTGAAGATATAGAGACAGGCTATGGTATGCATGTATAAGAAACAGAGAGAAGGCTAATTGTCCTGGATTGTAGGGTGTGATCGTTTACAAATGGGAACCAAGAGAATGTAAGTTTCTGAAGGGTAGGGGCTATCTCATTTATGTATTTATATCCCTAGTGCCTTCTATGATATCTGATTCATAACAAATGCTTAGAGATTAATTGAACTGGGAATGTTTAGCCTGGACAAGAGAAGACTCAGGGAGAATAGGTTAGCTGTCTTCAAGTATTTGAAAGGTTGTCATGTGGAACAAGGAAAGTCTTGTTCTTCTTGGCCGCAGAGGGCAGAATTAATTCCCTGGAAATTATGGTAGACTAATACACACCAGAAGAGTGTGTATTACCAGGAGATCACCAGAAGCCACAGAGCTGAAAAGATAAAATTTTTGCCTTTCTAATAGAGTCTTTCTCCCTAAAACAGAGAATGGCTCATGATTTTTAAAAAGGAGAGCTTAAGGTATTCAGAACTCAAATAGAGAACTGAGAATCGATGTCTCTCTAGCACTGGCTGGGGGAGTGGATGCCACTCCTGACTTATATGGAGGAACCCCTATAGACTGATGAATTCTCTAGATATCCTTGATTACTCTCATAGTAGGCAATACATTGCCTCTAAAGGTCTGGGGTCTAGTGTCCGGAGGTACAGAGGGATAATAGCTTGAATATTTCTCCCTACCACTAAACTACTTCTTCTTATGATAGAGGCTCTCTAATGACCCACCTGGGGTTTCTGGTTATGTTCCTTTTCATGAAACAGATGTGCCCATGATTAACATGAATCTTAGAGCCTAGAGTTAATAAATCTGTTAATTTCCACTATTTTCATACTATCACATATGAGTTGCTCAACAGATAGTCAAAACACATTAAAAAAAAAAAAGCAATGGGTAGCAGTTGCAAGGAAAAAAATTTAAGCTTGATTCAAGGAAGAACTCAATAATTAGAGCTTTCCAGAAGTAGAATGTGCTGTGTTGAAGTTGATGACTTTTAAACTACATTGACAACTTATCAGGAAATATATGGAAATTCCATTTAGGTATGTCTTAGATTTGACTAGGTCCCTTCAAACTCTGAATTTGGTGACTCTGAATGATCATATTCAGCTATATAAATTAGTAATAGATTCATGAAGCAAATGGCTCTTGAGTTGGACCTTGAAGGAAGAAAAGGATATTGACAGGCAGAGATGAGAATAGAATCAGGGCAGCAGTAGAGAAGACGGAAAAGCTGGTCATAGTTCAACGCGTCCTCTAGATTTTTGAAGAAAAAATTTTCAAAGAATTCAGAGAAAATATAATATCTCATGAACTAAAATTCTGTAAAAGAATCTACTGGAAGTTCTCACGAACAATACAGGACAAAAAGAAAAACAGTTGTGATGAAAAAGAATAGGGAGTTGTCTAAGAAGATTCATGTGAATATGTATAGAATTTATCAACCAACTTAGGTTTTTTTTTAAGTATACAAGATAAACGCAAGTATAAGTAGCATGTGTATAGAGATGTGGTGCAAAAAGTTTACAAATAAACAAGATACAGAGCATTGGGAGGTATAAAATAAAAAATGGATAATTTCAGTTACATTAAATTAAAGAGGTTTTGTACAAATAAAACCAGTATAACCAAGAAGGAAAGCAGAAACTTGGTGAAAAAAATTTTATAGACAATTTCTCAGATAAAAGTCTCATATCTCAAATATATCAAGAATGTTATCAAATCTACAAGAATACAAGCCATTCCGTAATTAATAAACGGTCAAAGAATCTGAACAGGCAGTTTTCTGATGTAGAAATAAAAATAGTTTATAGTCATATGAAAAATGTCCCAAATCATTATTGATTAGAGAAATGCAAATTAAAACAACCTTGAAATAACATTTTATACCTTTCAGATTAGCTAAAATGATAGGAAAAGGTCACTAATGTTGGCGAGGATGTAGAAAAATTGGGACATTAATTTACTGTTGGTGGAACTGTGTACTAATCCAACCATCCTGGGGAATAATTTGGAATTATGCCCAAAGAGTCATAAAACTGACTATACCCTTTGACTCAGCAATACTATTATTAGGTCTGGTTTCCAAGATGATTAGGGAAAAAGGAAAAGAACCTATATGTTCTGAAATATTTATAGCAGCTCTTTTTGTCATGGCAAAGAACAGGAAATTGTGGTGATATGCATCAGTTGGGGAATGGCTAAATATGTTGTGATATATGATCATGATGGAATACTACTATGCTTTGAGAAATGATGAGCTCAATGATTTTAGAAAAACATGGAAGGACTTGCATGAAATAATGAAGAGCAAAATGAACAGAACCAAGAGAACGTTGTATACAGTAACAGCAATATTATTTTAAGAACATCTTTGAGTGAATAAGTTATTTTGACCATTATAGATATGCAAATTAACTACAAGGACCTATGAAGGAAGATGCTATCTGTATCCAAAGAAAGAACTAATAAGAATATGTATTGTGTTACACATACATATATACATATGCATGTATGTATGTATGTATGTATTAGCTATAGCTAGAAAGGATACTTAACAAGGATCTGGCTCTTGCTTGGGTAAAGGAGGCCACTTTTAGTTCTACAGGGAAGATCATGTCTGGTCAGCAGGCCAAGGAGTGGTGACTTGGGGCAGGTTGTGTTAACGTATGTATTCTTGAAACATTTACAAATCTGAAGTTCTGGAACCCCATGGATTCTATGTCCCTTAAGTGCTCAGGAAGCCAAGTCATTGAAATTTGGTTTGAACCATAGTCCTCTGGGCCAATCAATCTTGGGGACAACTTGCTAGCCTTTTAGAGAAAGAAGTAACCTAACATATATGGGACTGAGGACTTTGGGGAAGAACCCTGGTAGATATTGATTCTGTTATAATATGCTATTTTGGAGAATAATAAAAAATGCTCTTGGTTGGATGGTAATAGCAACTAATGTAGGTCCTTGGATTTAAGGTTTTTCTTCCCCCCCCAAATCAAAAATAAAAAAAGACCTTTGTTAAAAGATGAGTAAAATGAATTAGCTATAATGTTTACATCATGCCAGAACATATATTTTCCTCACTTCTACCTCTTATAATCCTTATCGCCTTTCAGGGCTCAGTTTAGGTACCACCTCCTATTTGAGGCCCTTCATTGATTCCTCCAGGTGTCATTGCTCTCTGCCTCTTGAAATTCTTTGTATTGACTTATCTTTTTTATATATTGTATCCTTCCAGTGGAACATAAACTTTTTGATGGCAAAAACTGTTTTGTTTTGATCTTTGTATTACCAACATCTAGCATACAGTCCCTTGAGCATTAGAGGTACTTAATAAGTGTTTGTGGAATTGAATATTCAGTTCTTTTCTTACATATAAGTTATTTTTCTTCCTTTGTGTTAACAGTGTCATCAGCAAGGTGGTTCCAGCGCCAGAGGCTAAACCATCTCCCTCTGTTACTAGACCCAAATCACCACCACCTGCACCATCCCCAGCACCTGCACCTGTTCTCATGACTCCTCCTCCAGTGCCTGTACCACCTCCTCCACAAGCCTCTGTATCACCTGCTATGATTCCTCCACCTTCTCCCGCGATCATGGCACCAGGAGGCTCCAAAGCACCTGTTCGTAGTGTTGTGACAGAAACAGTCAGTAACTATGTGGTATGTAACATTTGCATTTTTAAAATTCTTTTTCATTTTATTTACAATTCCATGAAAACAAGAAAAACAAAACTTGTCACAAATTTACATAGTCAAGCAAAACAAATTTCCAAATTAGCCATGTCCAAAATACATACATATGCGTATAGATATGTGTACATATACGTTTCTCTGCACTCTATATCCTTTCTTTCTGAAGGTTGATAGATATCATGTTTCATTATGAGTCCTTTAGAATTGTGGTTGGACATTGTGTTGATCAGAGTTCCTAAGCCTTCCAGAGTTAATTATCATCCTAATAATTATGTTATTGTATAAATTGTTCTCCTGGTGCTGCTCACTTCACTTTGTATCAATTCATAAAATTTCCAGGTTTTTCTGAAACCATCCCTTCATCATTTCTTATAGCACAATAGTATTCCATCATCTTCAAATAATAATTTATTCAGCCATTCCCCAATTAATGAATACTCCCTTAGTTTCCAATTCTTTGCCACCATGTAAAAGCTTTTATAAATATTTTTGTACAGATGAGTCTTTTTCCTCTTTGATCTCTTTGGGGTTAGACCTAGTAGAGATATTACTGAGTCAAAGGTTATGCACAATTTAATAGCTTTTGAGGCATAGTTCCAAATTTCTTTGCAGAATGGCTAAACCTCTAACATTTACTCTTATTTGAAGATGAATTATTATAAATTATTAAGCTTTAGCTTATCTTATTACAATGAAAATTTTGAATAAAAGTTATTATATTTCAAAGGTAATTCATATAGTGGCTGATCATAGGATCATACATTTAGAGCTAGAAGTGATGTTGGGGGATCATATAGTCCATCTCCCTCATTTCATGGATCAAGAAACAGGTCTAGAAAGGTGACCTGACTTGAGTCACAGAAGAAGTCAGTGGCAGAACTAGAATTCAGATCAGATTTTGGGACTCCAAGTCTGATGTTCTTTCTTGTGTGTCACACTATACTTTCATTGCTAGCCGCTGTTTTTAGGAACATAAGAATCCTCGGGCAGAACTGTGTTAGGCAAATAATTAGACAGAGCTTGTGACATGTATGAAGAGTAGAAGATATATAGGCTCTTTGTTGCCATTTCAGATTAGTGGGCATATCAATGTAGAGGTCTTCACTCCTTGATGGACAAATCCAAAACCAAATTCTAAAATTCCAAATATGCTTTCCAGTTATACTTCAGGGCTTAAATAGATTTGTGATCTCATTGATTTAGGTTGTTATTCCAGTGGTGTAAATCACAACCTATCCAAGTTGTTGAGCTCCATTCCAGGGCCAGCTGATGTAACCTCTTCCCTGAGGCTTTTCCTGTACCTCAGATTTTACTGTTTTTCCTACTCCAGAATACTTTTACTTTTATTGTATTTTATGCTTACCTATCTATGTACTATACATGTTTCCCCTCAGTAGAATGTAAGCTTATTGAGGACTAGACCACTTCCATTTTTGTCTTTATATCCCCAGCATCCTATCTGTGCTTCACTGGTTTTCTCCCCAGCATCCTATCCATGCTTCACTGGTTTTCTTTTTCCTCAGACCTATGCTTTCATCTTTGTAAGGGAGGTTCTTCCTGAGGAAATTCAGTCTGTGAATTTGGGGCAGCTAGGTGGTGCAGCGGATAGAGCACTGGGCCTAGAGTCAGGAAGATGTGAGTTCAAATCTGGCCTCAGGCACTAGCTGTGTGACCCAGTGCAAGTCACTTAACTTCTATTTGCCTCAGTTTCCTCAGCTGTAAAATGGGGATAATAATAGCACCTACTTCCCATGGTTGTTGTGAGAATCAGATGTGATAATGATTGTAAAGCAATTGAACAATGCCTGGCACATAGTAGGTGCTATGTAAATGTTGCAGTTATCATCATCATCATTAGGCTTAGTTCTATTTTGATGGTCTTAAGAGAATTAAAAAAAGAAGAATAAAGGAATATACTAGGAAAGATAGGGCTAGGACTTACTGTTTCTCATAATAGTATGCACAAGTAGAAGAGTAAAGAAAACTAGAAGAAAGGGTGAGAGGAGCAGGTGTTTCATTAATTTCATCTGAGTCAAGTGAAGGGGGATTGATCATACAATATTTCTAGAAGTTTTCCTTTGGGGATCTCTTTCAAGAGGTGATCGGTGGATTCTTTCCATTTCTATTTTACCCTCTGGCTCTAGAGTATCAGAACAGTTTTCCTTGATAATTTCTTGAAAGATGATGTTTAGGCTCTTTTTTTGATCATGACTTTCAGATAGTCCAATAATTTTTAAATTTTCTCTCCTGGATCTAAGTCAGTTATTCTTCCAGTGAGATATTTCACATTGTCTTCTATTTTTCATTCTTTTGGTTTTGTTTTACAGTGTCTTGATTTCTCATTAAGTCACTAGCTTCCAGTTGCTCCATTCTAATTTTTTTTGAAATTAATTTATTTTGATTTATCAACAATATCTTCCATAAGCTTTTGAGTTTTAAATTTTTCTCCCCCTCCCTCCCTCCCTCCCTTCCTCCTCAAGATGGCACACAATCTGATATAGGCTATACATATACGTACACATTAAACATATTTTCATATCAGTGATGTCGTAAGAATTTGAACCAATAGGACAAACCACTAAAAAGAAACAAAACACAACAGAAGAAAAAAATAGCAAATAATATATGCTTCGATCTGCATTCAAATTCCATAGTTCTTTCTTTGGATGTGGATAGCATTTTCCATCATGAGGCCTTTGTAGATGTCTTAGATTCTTATATTGCTGAGAAGGATTAAGTCTACCAATATTAATCATCACTCAACGTGACTGTTACTGTGTACAATGTTCTCCTGGTTCTGCTCACTTCACTCAGCATTAGACCATACAAGTCTTTCCAGGTTTTTCTGAAGTCCACCTGTTCATCATTTCTTATAGCACAATAATATTACATTACATTCATATACCACAACTTGTTCAGCCATTCCCCAAATGATGGGCATCCTCTCAGTTTCCAATTCTTTGCCACCACAGAAAGAGCTGCTATAAATAATTTTGTACATGTGGGTCCTTTTCCCATTTGTATGATCTCTTTGGGATACAGCCCTAGAAGTGCTATTGCTGGGTCAAAGGGTATGCACATTTTTATAGCCCTTTGGGCATAGTTCCAAATTGCTCTCCAAAGTGGTTGGATCATTTCACAACTCCACCAACAATGCATTGGTGTTCCAGTTTTCCCGCATCTTCTCCAACATTTATCATTTTCCTGTTTTGTCATGTTGGCCAATCTGATAGATGTGATATGGTACCTCAGAGTTGTTTTGATTTGCATTTCTCTAACCAGTAGTGATTTAAAGCATTTTTTCATTTGACTGTAGATGGTTCTAATTTCTTCATCTGAGAACTACCTATTCATATCCTTTGACCATTTATCAATTGGGGAATGACTTATATTCTTATAAATTTGACTGACTTCTCTATGTATTTTGCTCCATTCTAATTATTAAGGAAGTATTTTCTTCAGTGAGCTTTTGGACTTCCTTTTCCATTTGGCCAATTCTGCTTTTTAAGGCATTCTTATCCTTGTTGGCTTTTTTGGACCTCTTTTGCCATTTGGGTTAGGGTATTTTTTAAGGTGTTATTTTCTTCAGTATTTTTTGAGTCTCCTTTAGCAAACTGTTGACTTATTTTTCATGATTTTCTTGCATCACTCTCATTTCTCTTCCCAGTTTTTCCTCTGCTTCTCTTACTTGCTTCTCAAAATTCTTTTTGAGCTCTTCCATGGCCTGGGACTAATTTGTATTTTTCTTGGAGGCTTTGAATGTAGGAGCTTTTGACTTTGTTGTCTTCTTCTGGTTGTATGTTTTGATTTTCTTTGTCACCAAAGAAAGATTCTGTGGTCTGACTTTTTTTTTTTGCACAGTTTACTCATGATCCCAACCAATTACTCGAATTTTTAAACTCTTTGTTAAGGTAGGGGTCTGCTTCCAGTGTGGAGAATGTACTGTCCCAAGCTTAGGAGGTTTTGTGCAACTGTTTTCAGAGACACAGAATTCTAGGGACCTGTAAATTTTCAGTTCTTCCAAGGTGATATGATCAAGGGTGAGGTGTTTACTCTTTTCCTGGCCTGTGCTCTAGTCTATGAGTGACCACAAGCACTCTTTTCTGCATTGGCACTGTGAGGACGATTCCCTCTCCACTGCCACCACAAGCTTCACCATACCAGCTCTCCTCCTTGCCCCAGGATCACCACCCCGAACTGTGACCCAGATCCAAGCACAGGCAAAGCAAGAGAATCCTGCCTCAGCACCAGCAAAGAGATCCCTGCAATCCCCGTCTGATCAGCCACTTGATTCCCCCTCAGCCTGTGGGTCTGAAGCTCCTGGGCTGGGACCAAGCTTCTCTTACGGAGCACAGTCACAGACTTTTCCTACTGACCTTCTAAGTTGTCTTTGGCGTTTGTGGGTTAAGAAGTCTGGAAACCGCCACAGCTGCCTGTGATTCAGTCCTCTGAGGCCTGTTTTGCCTGCACATTCATGCTGAACTGTATTTCTCTCCCAGTCTGGCACAATAGACCTTTCTAATCAACCATCCAGGTTGTCTTGGGCTGGAAATTTGTTTCACTTTGTCTTTTTGTGGGTTCTGCTGCTCTAGAATTTGTTTAGAGCCATTTTTTACAGGTATTTGGAGAGGTTTGGGAGAGAGCTCAAGCAAGTCCCTGCTTTTACTCCACCATCTTTCTTATTTGGTTTTTAAAGTCTTTTTTAAGTTCTTCCAAGAACTCTTTTTGTGATTGGGACCGTGTGACATTTCTCGTTGAAAAAGGAGTGACTTTTTTTTAGCTCTATTAGCTTCCTCTGAATATGAACCCAGATCTTCTCTTATCCCCATAGTAAGTATCCATGGTTGGATTCTTTGTCCTTTGCTTACTCGTTTTTACTTATTTATTTTTTGTTTTATTTTGTTTTTATCAGTTATTATTACATTATTATTAGTGTAATCAAGTTATAGTCCTGAGGTTTGGGGAAT